AGGCTGGCTCAAACTTGTGGTGATCCTTCTGCTTCAGCCTCCTGAGTGCTGGGATTAAAGGCATGTGCCACCATGCCTGACAGTTCCCACTCTAGCTTATTCTATTTAGCATTTCTACTTTTAAGGGCCATAGTGAGTTTTATGACTCAATTACGTGGGCCATAAACACACTTGCTTATGGATGCAAAGACCAACCTCTGAGAAATGTCGAGGTAAGGTATTAATTACCCTCTTTATTTTTTCTCCCTCAGTCTCTTCCACCCATCTGCTAGACACCTGGATTTGAGACAGAGTGAAGGCTCAAAATGCTAAGAAGGGAAAGAGTGAGAATTGAACTCAATTACAAGAAAACCAGGTTAGGGCTAAGAGCGTTGCTCAGCGGTGGGGCACTTGCTTAGCATGTGTAGTCTCTTGGGTTTGTCCCTCAGCACTGCCATCAGTCAATCAATCAATCAGTCAGTCAATTAGAATTAAACCTCCAAACCTGAGTCCACTCAGGCAGTCTCTCACTACAAGAGGAGGCCTTTCTTTGTTCATTGATGTTGACCATAACTGTTGTTCCTTTTTGGTCTTTAGAACTGTCTTATATCTCCAACATTCCTCCCAAATAATGTCTAGGAGTTTTAAAAAAATAGTCCCCAGTTGTATAGCAGCTGGAGATGAAAACCAATACTATTACCCGCCAGTCTGAGGCCAGTGGTCCAGACAGACCCAAGTAGTATAGTGAGAAACAAAACAGCTGAGTGAGTCACTTTCTTTCCCCAAACTAAACCTAAATAGCATCCAATGTTTATTCCTGATTCCATTATCCTAATGTTCAAGATGAAATAACAAAAGCCTAAGAGATTGCCATGCCTCAGGTGGCACGGCACGGGTGCCAAGGGACAGTCAGTGGGAGGCGCCCAAAGCCAGAGGGGTCTAGCCTTGTCTTGGTTACGTTTCTCTCATTGCTGAGACAAAATACCTGATGCCCAAATTTAAACAAGGAAAGGTTTATTTAGCTCACAGTTTGTGGAGGTTTCAGTCCGTACCCTGCTGGCTCCAAGGCAGAGTGGCATATGGCAGAGGGCAACAGTTCATGGCTGCGGAAAACAGCAAAAGCAACAAGAGCAAAAGGGAGGAGTGGCAGAGAGCAAGCCTCTTTCCCTCTCTTATATTGTATGCAAGCTTCCTGCCCCAGGGCACATATAGCACTCACATCCATCATCCCAGCATTGGCCCATGGATCAATCAAACACTCTAAAAGCCTTCCCCACAACTACATGAGGCTTTGAGGGGCCATCTAGACACAAACCATGACAGGCTTTTAAAATTCTGAAAGCCAAAGCAAAACAAAACAAAAACCCAAAAAACAAAAAACAAAAAACATGAAAGCCTGAGTTATTGGTCCTCTCTTTTCCCTTTTCCTCTGTTGCTGCTGCTACCTTTCCTGTGATCTTCAATAAATGTAGCTGCTTACTACTTAGCACTGGGTGCATGCTTGGCACTTCCGTCCTTGCCGTGCACAAGAACCTGGACTGTTATTGGTCCATTCAACTATAATACAAGGAGGAAGAATTGCAAAAAGAGTGAAATCTTCATTTGGAGTAAATTACTTATGGTAGACTTTCAGGTAGTTAAGACATTGAAGTCAAAATTTTTCTTCTTTTTAAGAAGGGCAGGGTATTCTTAGAAGAAGAAGTCGACCATAAAGTTTGGGGAAAGACTCAGCCCAGGGGAGGAGAAGTAGAGTCCTGCAGACAGCTTTTGGTGGAGCCACCACTCTGAACTCATTCTTCTAAGCGGTAGTGGGGGAGTGAATTTCTGAATATAGCGTAGTGGTATGTGTGGGATTTGGATCTGTCTACACTCTAGCCCTTCTTGTCTGATTTCTGGGCTGGGGGTGATAGTGATAGGGTTTTGAATAAAAATAAAAATAGCAATGATTGCTAACAATTTTTGAACACTTATACCAAAAATGTATATCCATTAGCTCGTTTAACTGTCACCATAGCCCTGTGAAGTTGCTACTGTCATTATCCCCATTTTATAGCTGGAAAAACCAACTGAGCAACTCATCCAAGGAGAAGACCTGCTGCCTTACTCATGTTGGGACTGGCATATGCCAGTTAATTGAAAATGTTGACTAAAGCAAAGAGCTATAAAAAAATTTCCACATAGTATAAGCGTTTGATTTTGAGATAATTGTAAATACAGTTATAAGAAACAACACAGAGCGATCCCATGTACTGTCCCCGAACAGTAACATCTTCAAACCCTTTTTTACAGAATGCCTACAATGTGCCAGATGCTGTTCCACTTGCTGAAGACACAGACATAAAAAACATTCGCAGACAGAGCCCTGATTATGAATGATCCTAGGGAGAGTCAGGAGGAAGGGGGGACAGATGGACAGCATTTGAAGGACAGTAAAAAAAGCCTTAAGGAGACCTTGATGGTAGGAAGATGAGCAGGAGAGGATGTCGTCATGTTGGCTAAGGTGGACCAGGATTTGAGGAGGGAGGAGGAGTGGGGGCTCTGCAGAGCTCACCTGCCAGGAGGATCTGAGGTGTCCATTGGATTCAGCCGCCAGGATGCAACAGATGAGTAATCAGGTAGCCCTGCAGCATGGAGGGAAGCAGGACTTTGGTTCGGTGAAGACTGACTGGGTGTGGAAGCAAAGGTAGAAAGGGTTCCAGCTAGGGGAGGAAGAAGGGGTAAAGAAAACATTTTCCATTGATTCCCCCCCCCCTCCCCGTTCCGGGAATCAAACTCACGACCTTGCGCTTAGCCAGGCAGGTGCTGCGCTGCTGAGCTCAGTCCCCAGCCCCCTTCCATTGATTTTGTTTTTTCGTTTTTTTGGGTTTTTTTGGAGATGGTCTCGCTGTGTAGTGCAGGCTGGCCTTGAACTCACAGCAATCCTCTTGCCTCAGCCTCCTGAGGGCTGGGATTATAGGTGTATGCCAAACACGCCTAGCTTCTATGGATTTTTGTCTCTAGGATGAATGGCAAGAGCTGCTGAGAGCCTGGATTTCAGGGCTGGTTGGATAGTGCAAGGCTTCAATAAGTAAGAAGAGCTGGAATTTTGAACACAGTTGAGTCCTGGTTGGAGGGGCGTGGAAGTTTTCTGAAAGGAGATACTTACAGGAAGAGATGTGGATAAACTTCTGTGGTTGTTTTCAGAGGGAAGTGACTATTGCCAGTGGGGGCAACCAGGGATGGCTTGCAGACAGTGATGACACTTACTGAGTGGACTGGGTTGGATTTGGGCAGAAGTAAGGGTGGCAGAGGGCCATTCCAAGCAACAAAGGAGACAGGAGCCCAAGGGGCACTTGAAGGTAACAACAGAGTGGTTCTGTTGGTTGACATCGAGGCACCTGAAGAATACAGTCGTAGGGATGGGCCCAGGAAACGCAGGTGAAAGTGGGCGGCAGACCGGGCGTGGTGGCGCACGCCTGTAATCCCAGCAGTTGGGAGGCTGAGGCAGGAGGATCACTGCGAGTTCGAGACCAGCCTAGGCTACAAAGTGAGCTCAAGGAAAGCGTGAACTGCATAAAGAGACACTGTCTCAAAAAGACAAAGAAAGAAAGAAAGAAAAGAAAGTGGGTGGCAGTATGGGTACAGCTGGGGGTGGGGCGGGCGTCGAGGTCGATGACACATGAGACTGAAATCCCAGCCTTCGGTTGCTTACTTGCTGTGACACTGGAGAATTTCCTTAACACAGGTCGGATATTTCCTCTGTAAAACGGCGATAACCATGAGGTTGTGGGAGGAGGACTACATAACGCCTACAGAAGAAAGCTTAGGTTGGTGAGGCCTCAGTAAGTAAGTGTATGTGTCTTTAATACAAAGCTATCCCACGTGTGGTTTAAGGGACATTACCTGGACTGCACAGGGTGAAGGGGACTGAGCTGGGAAAGGCCTGCGCAGGATCCTGGGCACAGCAGGAGACTCAGAACGGCATTCTCTGCTCGGCACTGGCATACAGGACACACTGTTCCTTCCCTGGATTCATAATCTCAGGGGCGCCAGTTAGCCAGGTAAGGGCCCGCCAGAGATGAGGGGGTGATGACGTAAATTCTTCAGTTGTGCTTCTCTCCGACTACTCCTTGCCAGAATCTTTCAGACCAAGGAAGGGCAGCAAAGTGTAAGATGACCGGGGTAAAGTTCCCAAGTTCCACAACATTTTGCGACTCTTAGCCGCACAGAACAGCTAACTCGCGCATCTGCAGAAGCGCGCAGGCGCAATGCGGAAGAGGGAAGTTCACCTTTGTTTGAGTGGGTGGAACTAAACTTGGCGCCACGGCCAGGGGCGGGACCGGCGCGATGACGTCACGGGCACGCCGCCGCAGAGCGACTTGCGTTCCGGAAGTGGCGGGTGCAGCGGAGGTGGCCGTCAGACCTGCCACTTCTAAACGTCCCTGGGAGGCGTCGCTGCACAGGGTGGGGCGGGCCTGAAGAAGCTGTCCGCGGGCCAGTGGCTTTCCCGGTGCCTCCGGCCGTCCCTGCCCCTCCCCCCACCAAGCCAGCGTTCGGGTAGGTGAGGTGCCACCAAGTCCCCGCCTCCGTGTTCCCGCGACTGTGCAGAGTTGGGCGTCTGGACCCCGCGCGTCCGCCACCTGCTGGCCGAGCCACCTTGGGCGTGGCCTCCGTCCGGGGCTTGGGGACAGCAGGCTTCCTGGGCTGCGGAGGTGGCGGTCCAAGCATCTGCTGTTCGCTGACCTGCTTTACGCCTTCCGAGGCTCCCGCGCCCCGCCAGGGACCTTTACTCCAGGGTTTGTCCAAGGGGATGTTGGGCTCCCAACAGCCCTTTTGTTGTCCCCCCACATCCGACTGCAATTTATTGCGTGGGACTCGCTGTTTGCGTAGGTTCCGCCCCCTCATGCACTGCTTAGCGCTCGGGGTGGTAGGACTTTGCGAGTAGGAAAGAGCACAAAGGTTCCTGTGGTTCTTCATCAAAAAGGGGAGATGGAAATGGGGTGTCTTTCCGTGAAATTATTGGGAACAGAGGGGGAGGAAGGATCAGAGAGAATGGGGTAAGGTAGAGAGAAGATGGTAGTCCTGGTTGAATGTGGCTCATTTACTAATTTAGCAAGCTGTAGTTACTGTGCACCTACTGTGTGCAGAAACTGTGATGAGTAGAGGCCAGCCAAATAGGAGGAAACGGGCAAGGACTTCCCAGCGCAAGAGTGATGTTTAAGCTGACATCAGAAGGTTGAATAGTAATTAACTGGTTAAGAATAAAAGAAAAGCCAGGCAAGGTCTTGGGTAGTTGAAATCCCAGCACAGCCTTCCCTTTTGAGGCCAGCCTGGATACATAGCAAGATGCTGTCAAAAAGAGGGAGAGAAAGTATTCCAGGACATCATTTCTCTGGAGAGCACAGGCTGCCTTCTTCCAGCGACCATGTGTGCTTGGCTGTTACATCCTGCGTTCTTGACGGATCTGTGGGGAAAAGAGCATTGGATGGAGTCTGAAGAACAGGCTTTTGTGTCTGAGTAATTCATAACAGTTTCGTCCTCTGTGAAATGGGTAATCCACATGTAATCCACTTACCTCACTCTATTATGGGTATCACATGAAATAACGAAAGGAGAAGTGTGTTGGGCCTAGAAGTGTAATATGTACAAATGTTGGAAATTACTATGGTTACAGGATGCAGACAGCAGAGCGTGAGGGGAGTGGGTCTGAAGTGAGCCCCAGTGTGATGCCTGAGGCTCTTCCTGAGTTTGCACCTGCTGCTACCAAGACCCCAGCATTTGATCTTTTCAACTTGGTTCTGTCCTACAAGAGGTTGGAGATCTACCTGGAACCTCTGAAGGATGCGGGTGATGGTGTTCGATACTTGCTCAGGTACAGACTTTATGGAGTTGTTTTGGCTTGCTGGACCTTCTGCTTCCCTGCTCTGTAGTACTGCTGGCTGTTTAGGCAATGGTTGGGCTATCTTTTCTGCCCTAGTGAGGACCAATTCTGGATAGTTTGTTTGGCTTATGGATTTATCTAGGCCCACCCTGTGTCTCAGCCCCCACCCAGGAGAGGCAGGGGGATCATCTGGCTTTTTAACCAGGCTTCTTTGTAACTAGAAAAGGTCTTATCTCAGGACTGATAAACATCCTTCAGCATTGACCTTCTGTAGCATTTAAAAAAATTAAAAAAAATTTTTATAGTCAGATTTTACTGGTACATTTTACCAGTAAAATATATAATGATATATATATAACGATCACATTCATCATAGAGAATTTATACCTGTACATGATATCACTTTCTTTTTTTTTCCATTCCCCTACCTTCTCTTCAACATCCCCCCCGCTCCCCATTTATAAAAGCTTTTCCGTTTTTTCCTCCTTTTCTCGTTTTTTCCCCTTCTTTCCTATCCCCCTGCCCCTGCCCTTGTTCCCCTCCCTATTTGAACATTTACTTCTTATTTCACAATATACATTTTGTGCATATATTTCACAAATATATTTCACTCAATTTCCCACATAGATTTGTCTGGTGAATTATATTGCAAACTGAAAGTTAGATTTAACATGTGTACATATATTTCACAGTATACATTTTGGTATTTATTTACACGTTTCGCTGCTTATGCTAGAGATACAATGCTATGTTTACACTTGTGTATGATTTATTGGCCCTCTGCAGCTTTAGTAGGCTTAATTTCCCCCCCCTTCTTCCAATTTTAGCATAATTATTAAAATTAGGATATAAATTTGAAAAAAGTTATACACAAATACTTATGAGTGAGCAGGTACCATTTTCACTATTTGCTTGGAACTATGGGTCACACTTTTTCTCCTATCCTGCTCTGTTTTCCATTCTCCCTAATTTTCTTCTTCCAGCTCACTTTGTTTCTTAAGTTAAAAGTATATTAAATTATGTATACATGCTTTCTACTACATGAATACTTAAGTTTGTGTCTATAAATAATTAAGGACATTTCTTTCATTATATCTAGCACAATAATAAATAATTCCTTTTTTTTTTTTTTTTGGTATTGGGAATTGAACTCAGGACCTTGCATTTGCCTGGCAGGCGCTGTGCTGCTGAAGTATATCCCTGGCCCTTCTTGATATCTTTTTATACTTGGTTTGTATTCAGGTTTCTGTAGTTTCCCCCCACAAAGGTCATGAAGAATTGCTTTGGCCAGTCAGGTTCCAATGCAAGACCATGCATTGTATGTGATTAAGACATAAGAGATACAATTCCCATAAATATTTTTCAGTCTGAACCAATCACTTGTTTCATCCATGCTGAAGAGACTGAGTGAGTTAACTGTCCTAGAGAATTTCCCACGTAGATTTGTCTGCTGACTTATATTGCAAACTGAAAGTTAGATTTAAAATTTGGACTAAATTCAAGTAAAAAAAATACTCCTTTTTGGCAAAGATAAATATTTCTGTCATTATTATTGTACCACATCAAGAATCTCCTAAAACCTGGTTGTCTTAAAATGCAGAGATTCAGGGGCTGGGGATTTAGCTCAGCGGCACAGCACCTGCCTGGCAAGCACAAGGTCGTGAGTTGGGTTCCTGGTACCAGAAAAAAACCCAACCTCCCCACCGCTACCGCACCCGCCCCCCCCAAAATGCAGAGATTCTTAACTTGGAACCTGTTGGTGGATTTTAGGGATTGGCAAATCCCCAGAAATGGCATGTAAAGTTGTGTGTTCATGCATGTTTATTTTGAAGGAAAAACTTCTAGTTTTATCAGATTCTCATAAAGACTTTCAACCCTCTAAAATGCCTGAGAAGACTGGTGGGAGGCTAGGTGAGCAAAGTTAGGTTACTTCTGAGGGTGTTGTTGAGTCTTCATCTTTGCCTCAGTTTAGAAATAGTGGGCCATCGTCATCATCATCATCAGGTGACAGGGTCTTGCTGTGTTGCCCAGTGTTTCAGAGTCATATTCTCTACTGTAAATCCTGTGCCCTTGGTGCAAGAGTTAGGGAGGAGGAGGGGTTGCTCTTCAGAGGATCTCCAGGGATTGGTTAGAGTTAGAGGGAGGCGGGACATCACACCTAACCCCTTCTCTCCCAGCCAGTGGTCTCCCCTGCTGGCCGAGGGAACGTTGGTCTATGAAAGTGGCTGTCAGATTAGTATGTACTTTTGATTATGCTTTTGTTAGTAAAGAGGATTTGACTTTGAAGAGGAACCTAATCTTGGGCTTTGGCTCTTAGGTCTAAAACCTGAAGCTGCAGTCAGTTTTTAAAAAACTCTTTGTGGGGATCAACTACTTCATTATGTAGGTCTCCCAGAACTAAACATTAGGAAGAATGGGAGATTTTGGGAAATGAAAGTGACTTTAGTGTTGTTTTGGTGTTTGTTTTTCAAGAATAGGATTGGCCTTAGATCTAGTTTCTGTTTAGCTTTAACCATGGTAGCAGCTGTCAGAGGTTCTGAGGTCTGCTTAGGTTAATATAGGTAGAGTGAGTTGAATTTCAAAAGAAAGGCAAAGAGTGTTATTTCATTCCCTCTTAATTTTTATTAAAAAGTCTCCCATAAACTAACCTTATTTAGCCAGGCATGGTGGTGCACACCTATAATCTCTGCACTCAAGAGGCTTAGGAGGATTGGCATGAGTTCCAGGCCAGCCTCAGCTATATAATGAAGTTCAAGGCCAGCCTGTACTCTACACAGCAAGACCTTGTCTCAAAACCAAACCACATCAAAACCAAACCACACCAAAATCAAACCACACCAAAACCAAACCACACCAAAACCAATCCAGAACAAACCAAAACAGAACAACACAACAAAACTAACCTCATTTAGTAACTGAAATTCCCTAATTAGAGCACAAGAAAATACATTTACCTTGTGAGTGAATTGTTTGCCCATTTACCAGATTTTCTGACGTTTGTCTCTGATAGCTCACCTTGTAGATATTGACACTGCTCTAGAATTTAGGTATCAGTGGCTTCATTATCACATCTGTGCTCTTATTTCCCTAGTAAATGTCCCTTACGAGGGATTAAGCCAGCAGTGCTTGCTTGACCTTGGCAATCTGAACCTGAACCTCTGGTCTTTTTCTTTCCTTCCTGGGAACTGTTCCATTGCCTTTTGGTTCTGATGGGAGCTCTGTCTATACCTGCTTCCATCTGTTGCAGTTCATAATGATGTGTTTGCTGAGTTAATCCTGCATTCTAGTTTCATCTTCTGTTTTTAATACATTAAATAAAATCTTATTATTTTTTCCCCTTCTCAATATTCAGGACAAACTCTCAGATAAACTCAGACTCAAAATACAGACATAAGATGATAAAGTCACAAATGGAGGCAAAGAAATCTGTAATTTGTTCTTTCTTGATTTCTGTGTTCGATCAATTCTTAGGTAGTGGTTGTAAGTTCTTAACAAGTGGTGAAAAAGAATAAAGGAAACTATTAAAGAAGAATGTCAGTTTAATTCTCGAGGAGAATACACCCTTATAAAACACATGGGAAGCTGGACATAGTGGTGCACACTTCTAATCCCAGCACCCTGGGTGGCTAAAGCAGCTGGACTGCAAGTTCTGCCCACACTGGGTGATTTAGCTACTTAATGAGGCCCATTCTCAAAATCAACAGAAAAAGGGCTGGCAGTAGCTTAGTTGGAGGGCTTTGGGTTCAATCTCTAGTACTACAAAAACAACAAACAGGTGAAACAATGTTAAACATATTCTTTAACAGAAACCTGCTGGGAAGAAGTTCTACAGATCTAGTTTTCTCACTGTAGGGCTAATGTGTGACCTCTTCTCTCTTCCTGATTGCCTATCCATGAGACGGCTCACTTTTCATTTCTTTGTGGTCCTCTGTGCCCCAGGCCTCTTCCTCATCTCCTGGCTTGAATATTGTCCCATCTTTGCTGTCGGGGTTTCCTCTCCCAGCTGGAGAGCGGCTGTCTGTTGATCAGGACTCTCTGTTTTGTAGGTGGCAGACACCTTTGTGTTCCTTGCTGACCTGCCTGAGCCTCAACATCTTGTTCCTCACATTGAATGAGGGTAAGAATGGCTTTCAGGGCCAGTGGGTTTTATGGATGTCTGGTGGAAGAATACTGAGATGTGGCTGTGTTTGCAAGGGCCCCTCTTCTTGCCCTGGGTTAGCTTCTCTCTGTGTCTGCTTGGTGTCAGAACACAGGCTCTGGAGGGACAATGCAGGCTGAGCTGCTGGGGCAACCGTGGGCAAATTATTTAACCCATCTGTTGAGGCCTAATATTCCTCTACTTTAAAAGGAGGATAATAGTAGTGCTTTTCTCGTAGAGTATTTGTGAGGAATGAGATAGTCTGTGTGTAGCAGTGCCTGGAATGGAATCAGCAGCCAGTATGGTGTAGCTTGTCTTATTATTGTTTCCTTCTTAACTGATTGCCGACGCATCGACATTTGTTCATTGTGCTTTTCTAGCTGATTCTGAGGTCATCTGGGGACATGGCATGGGGTAAAGGTATTAGGAAGATGAGCTGAGAAGGAATTTTTTTTGCCAATTCTGTTATTTCTTATTGTCCATCATATGAGCCTGGAGCTTCTTCTGGGCAGTCACTAGCAGTGAGGAGAGGCCTGAAGCCCTTGAGAGAGACATGTGGACAGGTGCATGAACGTAGGGGTCCTAGGTGGTGATGTCTCCTGCAGACCTCCTGCTGCAGTGTTTGCGGTGACCCAGCCCTTTCTCTGCTTGGAACTGGCAGATGGTGCAGAAAAAAACAGCCCCTTCAGGGGAATGAGTTAAAGGGTCTGGGGCAGATGTTCTGAGGAGCTGATGCCTTATGTATGTATTCTTTCTTGTAGCGAACGCCATCTCAAGTGTCTCCTTTTATTCCTCTGGAGATAGGGACTCATTGGGTTGAAAATAAACCTAGTTCCTCCAAGATCTCATTCTTTTTCTTAGACTGTGATCAAAACTTCCCAGAATGTGAGATTTTTGGTTATATTTCCAAAATAAATCAGTTTCTATAGTAGGTAGTGAACAAGCATTTATTGTGGGCCTGGTGTTTTTTAGCTTACTGTTGGGATATTACGTTCATGTAAGATGTTTTTTCTTTAATCTTGGCCTCCGTATTTCTTAATCGACTGTGTCCCTTGGTACCCTAAAAGATGAAGGAAATACTTACAGTCTGTCCTAATGGCTCAAAGATCTGAATTTTAGTTATTGTGAATTTTCAGCAGCCAGAGTACAGGTATGAGCTGCCTACTGTGTGGTAGCAGCATTTTTTAATGTATTAAAAACAAACCTAGGACTGAGCATGGTGGCACATGCTCAGTCTGTAATCCCAGACTCGAGAGGCTGAAGCTGGAGGATCACCAAGAGTTCAAGGTCAGTCTGCACTACATATTGAGTTCAAGGACAGCCTGAACTATATAGTGAAACTCTGTCTCAAAAAACAAACAACAGGCCCCCAAAACAAAACAAAGCAAAAAAAAGCTAGTGCTACATCGGTGACAGATGGGCAAAGTGCCAGTCCTCGCGAGCTTATCTTAGTGGAGGAGACATTAATTTATGAAGAAAATCAAAGCTGTGATAAGGGGGCTGCAGGATGGGGTGTGATACCATGTCTTACCAGGTGACCAGGCAAGGTGGCTTAGGCAGAGCTCTGGAAGAGGCAAGGGAACAAGCAAGTGGGTGTGGTGGGCAGGCTGCTAGGCCTTGCTTACCTGTGCTACCTGCAGTGTTCTTGGTCCTATAGGTGCTTGGTACTCGGTGGGTGCCTTGATGATTTCAGTGCCCGCCCTGCTGGGCTACCTTCAGGAGGTTTGCCGGGCACGGCTGCCGGAGTCTGAGCTGATGCGGAGGAAGTATCACAGCATAAGGCAGGAAGACCTGCAGAAAGTTCGCCTTTCCCGCCCTGAGGCCATGGCTGAGGTGAAGAGCTTGTGAGTATGGCAGAGGGGACAAAGGGATGGGAACAAACTGGCCCGATTCAAGAATAGCAGCAGCCACCACACTAAGCTTGCTGAGTGCACAAGCGGCTGTATTGGGTGAACCACAGATGTTACTTCATTGAATCTTTTTTTTTTTTTTGGTCTTTTTGAGACAGGGTCTCGCTATGCAGTTCAGGCTGGCCTTGAGCTCACTTTGTAGCCCAGGCTGGTCTTGAACTCGCAACAATCCTCCTGCCTCAGCCTCCCTAGTGCTGGGATTACAGGCGTGCACCACCACGCCCGGCTACTTCATTGAATCTTTTTAGCAGTTCTGTGTGGTGGCTGCTGTTATTATCCTCTTCTTATGAGTGGAAAGGCGTTAGAAAGTGACGAGGCTGTGTTGAGACTCCAGATCCAAGTGACTTGAGTGTCAGGTGCCCAGGAAGAACTCAGTAAATGTTGCTGCATTTTTGGAGAAACTTCTGAAACCTGACAGAGTTGGTATTTTGAGGAAGCATCTTAAAAGACTGTTGAGTAATATTAACTGTGACAACTTCAGAGGATCTGTGTAGGCTTTTTGTGAACAGCAGGAGTAAAAAAAGTAAAAAATGGATGCCTGGGCCCAGCTCAGAAATTCTGACTCATCAGGAGGGGTCTTCAGTATCTGTTGTTTGTTTTTGTTTTTAAAAATCATTTAATTTCTAGGGCACACAAAAAAATGGAGCAGGAAGTACAGAGAATTGCCATACCCTCCTCTTCCCTGTGCCACAGTCACTTGAGCTTCAGCAGCCTCCCCACAGGGGTACATTTGTTACGACTGGTGAACCTACATTAAGACATGATCTTCATGCAGTGTCCTTAGTCTGCATGACGGTTCCCTCTTAGTGTTGCACATTCTGTGTGTTTTGAGAAATGTAAAATGATATGTATCCATTGTATCATACAGAGAGTACTTTCACTGTCCTCAAAATCTTAAAAAATAAAGACACATTTCATGAATTTGCATGTCATCCTTGGGGAGGGGCATGCTAGTCTCTTCATCCAATTTTAGGATATTTGCTATTCAAGTGAGGAGGCAGTATGTTTTTTTAAAAAAAATTTTAGTGCCAGGGATATAGCTCACCAGCACAGCGCCTGCCTGGCAAGCACAAGGTTGTGAGTTTGATTCCCAGTACAAAAAAAAAAACTTCAAGTTTGAAATAATTTTAAATTTACAAAAGAAGTACAAGAATAGTTTAATAGTTCCTATATACCGTTTACCCAGAAGAACAATTATTCTCTTGTATATTCACTGTACTGTAATCAGAATTAGAAAATATCACATTTATAACATTAACATTAGTGCTATCTTTCATAATCACATTGTAATAATTCTATAAATAAAGTTCTTTTTTCCTCTCTCCTTGTCCTGGAATCATATCCAGGGTCCTAGACATGCTAGGCATGTGCTCTATCACTGCGCTGTACCCTCCCAGCCCTTGTTAATAACATTATATCAGTTTTCCTTCTATCAGGATCCAGTTTGGATCACACATTGCATTGGCTTTTTATGTGTGTGTGTGTGTGTTTAGCAATAATGGGGATGGAACCTGGGGCCTTGCATGTGCTTTACTGAGCATATCTTTAGCTTTTAACATTTAGCTTTTATGTCTCTTTAGTGTCCTTTAATCTGGAGCAGCTCTTCCATTTTTGTTTCTTATGACCTTGAAATATTTAGTACAGCCTTTTATTTTGTAGGAGCTCCCTCAATTTTGGTTATTTGGTTCCTCCTGATTAGATTCAGGTTATGGATCTTTGGCCGATCTATGACAAGTGATGTGTCATTGTCACTGCTTCCATATCATAGACACCTTATGTCAGAAAATATTAACTTTGATCAATTGCTTAAGGTTTCTCCACTGTAAATTATTCTATCTTTCATTGTTAGTAATCTGAGAGGAGATACTTTGAGACTATGTGTATTTTGTTCCTTATCAGATATTCACTAACTGCTTTATTTTTATTTATTTTTTAGACAGGGTCTCGTTGTGTTTCAAGCTGGCCTTGAAATCATTGTGTAGCCCAGGTTGGCCTTGAACTTGTAGTCCTCTTACCTCAGTCTCCCAAGTGCAGGGATTATAGGTGTGTGCCACCTTGCCTGGCTTACACACTGCTTTAAAAACTATTGGTGGGTCTTGCCTTGTAAGTTAATGGTGGAGCTGTGGTTCGTATGTCCTCATTGCTGGGTGGCTTGTACACATGGATCTCATCACTTGCATTGGTCTTTTTACTAAGAAAATTAATAAAAAGCCACCCAATGGACAGTCATGCTTGAACCACTGTTTATTTTATTTTATTCAATGGGTTATAATCTATTACTGTCATTTATTTTGGTCACATGTTGTCCTAAATTTGACCAGTGGGGTAGCTTTTGAGCTGGTTTTTGTGTTCTTTCAATATATCCCCATCGTCTATGGCCATACCACCCTGAATGTGCCTGATCTTGTCAATATATCCCCATCATTTTAAAATGCTTCCTCATCATTTTCAAGTACAATAGGATATTTAAGTTCATCTAATATCGTTCTCGCCTCAGCTCTGGAAGCAGCCATTTCTCCAAGGAGTCTTTCAGAAACCTGAATCTGGGTGTGGGATGCACTCAAGCCATCTTGGGTACATCCACATTTAAAACAAAATTAAATTCCCCAAGGGAGCCTGCCTTACATCCCAGGTAGAAAAACATTGGTCTGCATTCTGCTGTTGATTCTCACAGTTGCTGTGCTGTGGATCTTTTGACCCTCATTTTGCAGATGAGGAAACTGGAGCCCTGGAAAAGTGAAGTAGCCTGTGTGAGCAAGGAAGAGCAAGAACCTTTAGCTGTTCCCACTTTAGTGGGGGGATTCAAAGAGAGAACAGAAACAAATCTGGAGTGGCTTGGTTAGGCGTTTTTCTCCCAAGCTTTTGTAAGCTATCCAGTGTGTTTAAGGAGGTTGGCTTTGCCGACTGTTCCTTCCCGGTCCTAGGCTCTGCCTCTCCAGAGCTTCCACCCTGTTCACTCACAGAAGCTCTTGTGTTTGCAGCTTGATTCAGCTGGAGGCCTTTTTGACCCGCCTGTGCTGCACTTGTGAAGCTGCCTACCGCGTGCTGCGCTGGGAGAACCCCGTGGTGTCCTCACAGTGAGTGGCCCTGCTCTCACTTGCACAGCTCTGTAGAAGTTTGCAGCTTGAAACCACCCCAAGCACAGCCAGCTGCCTCCAGAGGGCATCTGGCCCTCCTGCCTCAGAGGAAGAACACCCAGTGTGTAGATCTGCGTGTGTGCTTGTGGGCTGTAATGTATTGCTTTTGTTTAGATGCTTTTTAAAAAAATGTGTGGTAGAAGAAAGACTTTAATAATAGACAATTCACCATGTAATCTACCATGAAATAGCTGCTAATGTTTAGCTTGCGTCGTGGAGTGGTCATATGCATATACTTTGTGGATGTAGAGCTTCATAATGTATGTGAGGTTTTCTTCTCTTTTTTATGAATTACATTGTAAGTGATTTTTCTTGTTGCTACAAAGCCCTTATATTTTTTATAATACAAAGTTAATATAGACTGTGATTTATGGACCATTGTGTTACATGTTAAGTCAGTTCTACTTTTCATTACTGACTATAGTGAGCATATTTGCTTTAATCTTTTGAAGTTTTTTTTCCTTAGAATAAATTCAAAAATAAAAGTACTATATCAAATGAATGGGTGTTTTGGGGCTTCTTTTTTTTCTTTCAGTGGTACTAGGGATTAAACTCAGAGTCTTTGCACTAAATACATCTATACTCCTTCCCTGTTTTTGAGACAGAGTCTTGCTGAGTTGACTAGGATAGACTTGAAGTTGTGATCCTCCTGCTTCAGTCTACCAGTGTACTGGGGTTACAGGCATTTGCCTCCATGCCTAGCTATGAGGCCATTTATATGAATCATAATTATGACTAATGTTTATCTAGTCTTCACCTAGTGCTCAGTCAGTACTCTCTGTGTATTATCTTACTCTTTATGGTAATCCTATGGGTAGGCACTGTTGTAATTTCCATTTTACACATGAAGAAGTAATTGTTACAAAGGGAAATGGCTGAGCTAAATTCAGATCCAGTCTGGCTGTGTGTGGTGGCACACACCTGTAATTCTAGCACTTAGGAGGCTGAGGCGGGAGGATTGCCATAAGTTTGAGGTCAGCCTGGGCTACATAGTGAGTTCGAGGCCAACCTGAAGTACAAAATGAGACTCTGTCACATACACGCAAAAAATTCAGATCCACTCTGGCTCTAGACTCAGAGTCTAGACCCTGAGAGCAGTGACAGTTGAACCAGTTCATGTGTCTCAGCCTGAGATGCTGCCATAGCCTCACCAGCATCAGTTGTTAGCAAATAATGACATAGGCATCTCTGAATTTTTTCTCATCACTGTTTTCTACTTGTTTGATTAGCTGGTTTTGCTGGTTTATTAACTGAGGCCAGAGCTAGTTTTCCCCTGGATATCTGTATATGCGTGTTCAAACCTGTTTCCTTCTGACCTTGTGAATTACTTACCTTGTTTTCTTGTCATTCAGGTTCTATGGCGCACTTCTGGGCACAGTTTGCATGCTGTATCTGCTGCCGCTCTGCTGGGTACTCACCCTTTTAAATAGCACGCTCTTTCTGGGGAATGTGGAGTTCTTCCGAGGTAAGCCCTGCGGAGCCTGACAGCTGGAGCCCAAGCTGGCTCTGAAGGCCAGGTTAGGCTCCCTGGTTGTCTCTGTCCAGCGAATCTTCTGTTTGCTGTGCCTTCCAGGAGGGGGCAGCACCACACTAGGGTTTCTGGTGGAAGGCTGTCTCCTGTCTCTTAGATATTAGTGGAGGCTGCTTTCTCACAGGGAAAGCTCCAAGAGGTCCCCTCTCTGTTCTGAAGGCAGGAGAATCATTCACAGATATGCTGGTTTCTGGGGAATGAGGGAAAGGTGTTTTCTGAAAGCTATCACCCATCCCCCAGGCTGTAGTCACCAGGGGTTTTGTGTCTCACAGTACCTCCTGATCTCATCTCTTTGTGATTCCCCAGTACCTGCCTGCCATCTGGCTTCTGAAGCGCTGAGGCAGTCAGGAGTGGCCCGAGTGGCATGGTAGAGGCTTGGGCCGGTACATGAGCTTGGAGGGTGCTGTATTTGTTTGTGTGGTAATAACAGAAGTCATAATGGGATTTCTAGCAGTGTGGGGTAGGAGGTGGTATCTCTGTTTTGTTCATGAGGTTTAGGTTAGGTGACTTGCTCAGAGTTAGGAAACTCTTTCCTGTAAGAGGGTGAGCTCTGGAGGAAGTGGCCAGTCACTTGTAGAAGTGGATACCCCTAAAGCACCACTCATTCTGTTTTGTGTCTGCCCCACCCTCTTCTCCTTGTCCTGGGTAGTGGTGTCTGAGTACAGGGCATCTCTGCAGCAGCGGATGAACACTAAACAGGAAGAGTGTACCTTAGAGAACCCACTACTGTTGGATGCTGGGGGGAAGGGTGCCCTGCTGGACAGCACGCCTGCCCCCACACCCACTGAGGTGAGTGCCCGGGCCATCAGCAAGAGCTGGCCGCAGGCAGTGTGTGTATGTGTGTCCTCTTACGAACTTGTTTCTACTGCATAGCTCCCAGATTGGTTTCTGTCCTGCTTCTTTGCAAGCCTGATTGCTTCTGAAGTGCTTTAACAGCTGCCCTGTGTGGTTGAGTGCTTATTCTGTGCTGGATGCTGTTCTTACTGCCTTAGAGATAAGCTTACTTAGTGTAGGTTGTATCAAGAAAGATTATCCCCAATGCAGAAGAGAAGGGTGAGGCACAGGGTGGCTTCCCAGGCTGTGAAGCTAGTAAGGGAGCCACCAGGTCTCAGACCGGGTCCTGTGGTTCCAGAGCCCTGCTCTTGGCCACTGGAAGTACAGCCCTGGTGGTATACTCATCACCCTGGCCCTTCTGGGTTAGAGATTGCTCTCTTTCCTGTCACTTCCTTTTTTCTTGCAGTTGTGCCATTTCCTCTGGGGCAGGAACAGGTATTTTGGGAGCCTGGGTGCTGGCTTAGGGGAGGTGGCTCTGTACTGTGGGGAGCAGGGTTGTCATCTCTCTATTTCTGTCATAGACTCTTTCTTCCCAGGACCTCACCCCGGGCAGTGTGGAGGAGGCTGAGGAGGCTGAGCCAGATGAAGAATTCAAAGATGCCATTGAGGTGGGTGGCCCTTCCCAAGCACCTGCTGCTGACTAGGCCGGAGCATGGGTGGTACTGAAGTTGGGTATTTTTGTTTGTTTTGTTTTCTTAATTCTTTTACATCCAAATGGAAAGCTAAAACTGGGCTAGATAGAACTTAGTGGTGAAAGGGTACCGTTGATCACCCAGTTAACACATTTCCACCAGCTTGAGCAAGTGGTGGCTTGTACTACCCATGGTTTAAGCTGGCGGGAATGTAACACATTCAAATCAGAGTTGCCAGGCAGCAAGGCTTACGAATTATGGACCTGTCATGAATGTGTTAAATGTCCTGGGCAGTCAGGGCAAGCGGGGCTCTGAAAGCCACTGGGAAATGGCCTATCTGGAGTTTGTGGCTTCTCACCTTTGCAGCAAACATTGGGCTCAGTGCCTTTGATGTAGGAAGGCAGATTTGGAAGAGGCTGCTACCCTGTGTCTCTTTGCAGAGTTCTGTAAGATGTCCCTTGGGGGTCAAGGGGTTGGGGAAAGTGGTTGTATGGCCAACTGGTAGGTCAGGGAAAGTTCACCAATCTTCTTGATTTTAGGACAGTTCTAGTAGTTTGCAGAATTGTTTGATTTGGCTTGCAAATGTAAAAAAAAAATTCTTTTGAGTCAATGTTTATAAATGGGGAAATTTTAGTGAGAACTCTGTATTTTCAGGTTCTCTGGTGTCTAGATCTGTAGCAGTGAGTGTAGGTGAGGCACCACCAGCTGCTTTAGACCAATGACATGCTGCAGTTAACATAATCCCCAACACTCCCTGTCTTTGGTCTCTGAGGTCTAATGCCAGTTGATACTTATTATCTCATTTGCACTGTTGCTTCCCTTAGATAGAAATAATTTTTTCCTTCTATCTCTGTAAACTGGGAAATTGAGGTATAAGTAGTAAGGCTCTTGAATTTTTATCAGGCCTGTGGTTTACACCTGACTTGCTTTATTCTTAGATCAGCCTCCTCTTGTGAGTGCTTACTTTTTGACTGCTGCAAACTTTCTCCAGGACTGATAGATGATTCTAGGGTATGACTCTGGGGATGGTGGAAATAAGTATCAGGGGCTTTTAAGCCTTTTTGTTCATGACCCACAGTTAGGAACACATTTTGTGTCCTGATGCAGTTCACAATTGTGTATACCTGTAAAATACATAAAACTTCAGTGGAACAGTTTTCCTGAAAGACATTTAAGGAATATTTTCCTTCCTTATGTTCTGTTCTGTTTGAATAATGACACCACGTAAGAAAAACCATACAGCTTTCTGCAAACTTCTTCACCACTGAGCTCCTCCCAAGGAGGGGTCTGTTAAGCTCTCCTCTGGGAAGTGCTCAGAGTGTTGAGTTTCCTTCTGCCTGCAGGCCTCCCCCTCGCAGTACCTTCTTTCTCCTGCTATCTCTTTTCTGTGTTTTTTCCCTTTCTCCTCTGCACCTTGGGAGGCAGGAGACCCACTTGGTGGTGCTGGTAAGTAGGAGTGGTGAGGTGGGCACGGGCTGGACAGGGCTGGGGGAGAGTGGCAGAGCAAACTGTGCTGCACCTCATGGGGTCTGCTGTGCCCAGGAACCTCTGCATGCAGGTCCTAGCCCTTCCAAGAGAGGAGCAGGGCTGGAATGAGCTACTCCCACAGGAGGATGATGAAGGCACCCCATGCCCAGCAGAGGATGAGCTGGCTCTACAGGACAATGGATTCCTGAGCAAGAATGAGGTGTTGCGCATCAAGGTGTCACGGCTCACAGAGCGGCTCCGAAAGCGTTACCCTACCAACAACTTTGGTATGGCCAAGGTTGGGGTGGGGGGCCAGAAGGGAGTTGATGGGACTGTCTTGCGGTTGGGGTGGGGCACACTGGTGGCAGGGAGAGAGTTTTGGAATTATGGGCACTGACTGTAATAAGAGCAAGGCATAAAGGGAAATCAGTAAGTGCCCAGTGGAAGAGCTGAAGGAGCGAGTGGGGGTTTCTTGTCCCTGTCTTCCTGTTGGACATTAGTTCTTGGGAAGACAGGGAACTCAGTTTGTGAACTGCCGTCCTAGGACTACAGACAGCAGGCGGTGCAGCAGACTGGCTAAGAGCAGTGGAGTCTGACTGCGTGGTAGAAATCCTAGTGCAATTGGGTGCCCTTAAGCAAATTATTTCCTGTCCTTGTGCTTTAGTTTCTCTTCCATAAAAGGCATAATAGTTCTTGTAGAGTTGTTCTAAGTCTCACATTTGACAGTACTTGTTAAGGGCTAGCATAGGGCCCAGACGGTTTGTCCATAGTGCTTAGTAAGTAGGTACCATTAATATGCGAGGCCCTGGGCCATCCACCTAGTTCTTGGGAACCTGTGTTGATTTTTCTGATCCACCTACATGGAAGTTGGAGTAAACAGTATCTTCCTCCTTATCAAGGCATGATAAGGCCTTGTTACTTCTCTCAGCCAAGTTTGTGGCTTGGCCAATCGTTAGTGGTGCTGGGGTTTTGAGTGGGTCAAGGAAGGCAGCTTGGAGGAGGGTAGACTTGCCTCCGAACACCGTTTGGAGATCTGGTTCAAATCAAGAGTTCTGGAGCAGTGCCAGGTAAAATCATGCTAGAAACCTAGAGTGGCTGGTGACCTGTGAGCTATTTTCCTTGTACTGTGTGTTCTGGTGTGCAGAGAGTTCTAGATCTGTGTCTGGGGTTTATATTAAGGAATTTGGCCTACAGCCTCAGGACCAGCCCTCCTGCACATGTAATAAGCAAGGCAGTTGTTTTCTCAGGATTAGAGATCTTGGACCTGCTATTTCCTGTTGCCATGCAAATGTCTCCAGCATTTTAGTTCCCTTTGTCATTTGCGTTGCCACTGCCATCTGTAGAGCATCTGTGAGCTCATTGTACTTGTACATATGTGAGCTTGGTTCTTGTGGTGGATGTGATAAGAGGCAGTTTTATGGGTCCAAGAGCAGCCAGGTTCCAGAAGTCCCAAGAGACACTATGAAAGAAAGATTTAAATATAAATATATTTATGCATTTCAAGAAAAGGCACTTAGATGTTCCCATTTTACAGATAAATAACCTGAGGTAGATTTGCCCAAAGACTTTGCCAGTAAGTGGTAGAGGTGGGGCTCAAGTCTGGGTCATCTGATTTGGCTCCTGTGTTCTTTGTACCCCATGATCCTCACTCTCCAGTTTTCCTTTGCTTTGGTGTCATAGTTACTTTCTAGTTTCTGAATATCCACAATACCCAGCACCCACAACTTAAAGGAGGTTTATTTTGGCTCACATTTCAGCCCGTAGTTGACTGCCTGCAAGGTAGGATGGCATGGCACTGGGGCGTGGAAAAGGAGAGCTGCTCACAGCTTGGTGGACAGGAACCAGAGAGACTTAAAGGGAGGAGCTGGGTAGGAGATAAACCCTTGGGGCCACACCCACAGTACCCTGCCTCTTCTGACTGAGCCCCACCTCCTAACAGCGCAGCTATAAGCTCCACATTCTAGTCACTTCCAGAAGCCGTGCCTGTGAGTGCTTGGGGCTCGTGGGGGACATCTAGATATAAACCACAGCATCTCCTGTCTGCAGGGCCCTGTTTTCTGTCTGTCTCATTTTTTAATTTGGCTTTTAGTTTGGGAATTCCCTGCTGGGATGCAGAAAGGCCTATCAGGTTCCCTCAAGGATGGCAAGGGCAGAACATGTTTGTTGCCCTAAGTCCCTCTTTGCTCCTTTTCAGACTCTTAACCTTCTCTCCCCTGAGATGTTCTCATGCTCTGCTTCAAGGGCAGGTGGGCTGCTTTAGGGGCTGTCTTAGTCTGTTTGGGCTGCTGTAACAAAATAAACTACACTGGGTGGCTTAATAAAACAACAGAAATTTGAATAAAACGACAGACTGGAAATGCAAGATCAAGGCACCAGCATGATCAGGGTCTGGTGAGGGCCTGCTTCCTGTTTCATAGATGCTCTGGTTTTTGCTGCCTTTTCAGATAGTAGGGTGGGCAAGGCAGTCCCTGGCATCTCTGAGGACACCAATCCCACCATGAGGGTCCCACTTTGTAATACCATCACTGCAGTTCAGGCTGGCTTAGAACTCACTTTGTAGCCCAGGCTGGCCTTGAAGTCCCGGTAATCCTCCTGCCTCAGCCTCCCGAGTGATGGGATTACAGGTGTGCGCCACCATGCCTGGCTTGCTTGGGGAGTAAGATCCAACATGTGAACTCTAGGGGCAACCCTAGCAGGGGCTATTCCATGCTGCTTGTCAGTGGATAAAGGGGCGCCGCACATTGGAAGAAGGAAGACCAGTTATTCAGGAGCTTTTCTGTGGCCTCCAAATGGGTGAGTCCTGGTGCTGAGGGCCCCTCTGTCCTGGAGGCTGCATGACCGTTCCCCTGGTTGGCTCTATAGAGCATTTGGCTCCTGCTACTCACATTGTCTTCTTGGCTTCATCACATGGTAAATCAGAGTGGGTGAGGCTGGGCCTTTGCTGAGAATGAGGGCAGAAAGAGTGAGCGCGTACTGGAAGGAGTAGGGTTGCTTCTATCCTCCATCCGCTGTCTAAGCTGATACCCTATCACATAACCCTCCCTGGCGCCGGGCCTCTGTATGGGTACATGGCTGTTGCACTGGGCCTGTGTCTACTGGGTGCATACCCTGGCTCTCCATCCAGTTCAGAGGAATTCGTGAACATGGACCAGAATGTCAGTATTTGAGTAGCTCCTTTGCCCTGTCCCATGCCTTTGCACCGTTCCTAAGAGGATGCAGGGGCAGCGTGCCTTCCCTCAGATCTGAATATAGGGGCCAGAGTCTTGGAGCAGCCAGTTTCCTGCACCAGCTGTGGGCATGGCCGATGCTTTTCCTCCTTACCTCTGCCAAGAGCCATGACCTGACCAACAGCAATGAGCGTTTACTGTTAGTTCCTCTAGTGGCCTCAGTCCTCCTGGCTGTAGCTGTGCTTCTTTCCTCAATCCCAGGGAAGCTTCTTTAGCAAGAACCACAGGTGATCCTGGCGGGAAGGAACCACTTGGGGCTGTCAATGCAGCTTCAGGGCCGTTGTGCGAAGGTGAGGCCCACCCTTTTACCTGACCAGACACAAGACCTGGGAGGCATGGTAGTGCTCCTTGAAGCTGGTAGTTGCTCTGGCCAGATCGCAGCAGGCCTTGGACCCCATGTCTAGAAACCTTCCCCATCCTCATCCCTCCTTATACTACCCTTGTCGTCCCCTAGCCATCTTCTAAGCTGCCATTGTCTGAAGTTTTGTCATCTTGGCATTGCTGGTTTAGGCAGAATCATTTTCCTGGCTTTATCCCCGCTTCTCGCCTGCTGCTCAGAGTGCTTTGAGCATTCTGACCTTTGGGTCTTCTTGGAAGGTGCCTGGTTCCACGCTTTCTCTCTTAGAATTCTTTGGCAGAAAGTAGGAGTCTGCATTTCCAAGAGACATTTCTGCCCACCCTATAGATAGAATATTTATAAGAGATACCCAGAAGGGGTCCAGTCGCACAGCTTTCACTTGCAGATGCTGTGGTCTGGTCCTTGCCAGCCTCACTGGGTACCAGGGAATAGATTCTCTGGCTGCTGTTTGATTTCTGCTGAATCTGTGAGTTGGGCCACTAGCAGCAGGCAAGGACTAGAGCCATGCATGGCCTGGGGACAGCATGTCCCGGGGGCCATCTATCAGTTTTTTCTTCTGGCTCTGAATCTGGGTTCTGTGTTCTTACTGCTGCACCCTGCTGAGTAGCAGGGCTGGGCTGGTATGCGTTGTGCCTCATTTAGAAGAGCCACAGCAGGGGAAGATTGAGAGGCCCAGTCTGGGTCAAGACTGAGCTGATCCCTCTGCTTCTCAGGGAGCTGTACAGGCTGCTCGGCCACCTTCTCAGTGCTGAAGAAGCGGGTAAGTCTCTGAGGGTGTGTTTGCTGGGAGCAGTGTGCTTGTGACTGGGTGCGGGGATGCGTTGAAGGGAGTCACTGGTGAAGTTTGACTCCTCAGGTCACGTGGGGCCTGGCACCTGTGGTTTGCTCAAGCAAGTACAGTATGTCTTCCTTGCCCATGTGCCGCCTTCACCAGCATTCCTGTGTGGTGTCCATCTGCCCCACCCGGGCGCCTCTCCAGGCCATTTTCCTGGGTAGGCTTGGCCTGTGGAGAGGAGGGAGGTGCTGGGGGCTCCAGGTCCCTGGGGTGGGGGCTACACCTAACATTAACTTTGGCTTTTGTCCACAGCGGAGCTGCAGTAACTGTGGGAACAGCTTCTGCTCTCGGTGCTGCTCCTTCAAGGTGCCCAAGTCCTCCATGGGGGCCACAGGTGAGTGTTGCTGGCAGTGGGTCAAGGTAGGGCTTGGCTACTTCCTGCCCCTTGGGGGAGGCCACATTGTAGGAAAGGAGCGAGATGTCCTAGTCCAGGGCCTGAGCAACATCTCCATCCTGTTTATCAAACAAAAATCATAAGCATTTGATATGGGCAAAGAATAGATATGCTGTACCTAGGAATTAGGAAACATAATAGCAAAATGAGTACCTGTGACTGCTTCCGAAAGTTAACAAACAGTGCATTAGCAGTGCCCTGAAGCTCCCCTCTGCCATCCCCAGAGGAAAACCACAGTCCCCCATTTGGAAACTTTAAACAACATTTAAAGATAATTTCGTTATATGAAGGCTAAATATACTCATTGTAAGTAAAATACGTAGGTGAAGGAGAGGAAAGAGAATACTCCGCATGTGTTCAGAGACAGTGGTTGGCTGTGGGTCCTGCCTGTCTCAAGCGTGCACACAGGATGGACTGCAAGCACATGTTCCTGAAAACCGTGATCACAGTTCACTTACTGCTTTGTGATGTAACAGTAAACTCAAGTTTTTTCCTTTTCTGATCTTGCAAGTAACACATGCTTATTAATGAGAAAATTTGGAAATTATTATACAGAAGAAGGAAGACAAAAATAATCCTATAATCGTACCACCCAGAGATAACCACTGTTAAGATGTTTTGGGAAAATTTCCTCTGGGGGTATTTTATTTAAAAAACACTTTTAAAGATGTTCTTATGGTGTCAAAAGAATTTCTAATGAATAGAACACCTGGGAAAGGCTACACCTGGCATCACTACCCCAGAGGCCCCAGTTCCTCTGGAGGGTGTGGCTGTGCTGGGTCAGGGAGGCGTGGCCTGGGTGGTGGGTGGTTTCTCTGGGTCTTTAGGGAGGGTGGTTCTAGGGCTTGTGGCCATGAGCCAAAGGGTATAAAGAAGTGTCTCACCAACTCCTTCCTTTTCAGCCCCTGAAGCCCAAAGAGAGACTGTGTTTGTGTGTGCCTCATGCAACCAGACCTTGAGCAAGTGAGAAGAGAGGCCAGGCTCCAACCAGAAGCAGTTTTGGGGCCAACAGTAGACCCCCTCTCCCCTGTGGCTTGTGCTGGGCAAATGTGGCCTGACTGCTCAGTTGGCTTCCCCTTCCTTCCCGTTTGCAGCGCTGTGCTCAGAGTTGAGGAAGAGCTGCCCCTAGAAGGCCTGTTTGCTTTGCTCTGCTCTGGGTTAGTGAATTGGACTCAGGGCTGGTCAGGGAGCTAGGCCTGGCTCAGCTGAGCTGTGATGATTAGGACCAATGTGGCCAGGCCTGGAGATCCCAGGAGACCTGAGCTTAGGAAAAGTTCTTCCCTGCAGAGCGTGGGGTCAATCCCTCAGCCTCAGAGAACCTGCAAGACAGTTTGGGACACAGCATGGGGAAGCTCCACTGCAGAGTGGACTTGAAGAATCTCAGCCCACATGATCTGCTGGTGTCCCCGGCTCCACCTGCGTGGCTGAAGGGCACTCAGAGCACTCTTGTTCCCCCACCCAAGTGCAGGGAAACTGTTCTCTGACCCGGTGCCACTTCTCCCTTCCCTGTCCTTTGTCCCATGGAGTGTGAGGTCAGATAAGCAGAGCAGAGGTCCAGAGGCTCTTGACCTTGAGGGTCCTGGGAAGTGTAGGATCTCACTGGGCTGGGTCCTAGATTCCAAGGCTGTACCCTGAGGTCCCCTTGGGTCTCCATCTTTTTGACAATATCATATTTCCTCTGGATGCTGAGGGCCTAGCATCTTTCCCAAAGCCATGAGCTGGCTCAGTGCCCCACCCTCCAGCTGTCCTGTCTTTTCAAAGTATTTATTTATTTATTTCATGGTACCTGGGAACATATAGCTATATAGCACTGGGGAATGGGAGGAAGTAGATGAGGGTCCTCTGCCTCGGACTCTTTCCTGGAGTCAGGGCTGCCAGGAACCTCAAGGCATAAGTGGCTGAGGCATTCCCACCCCCTAAGTACGGACTGGAGGCAGTGCGGGGACAAGTGGCCCACCCCAGGCGTGCTTTCTTGCCAGGCCAAGCTGTTTGGTGAGGGCTTGGCAGCTGGGGCCTGAAGGCACCAGGCATAGGGGAACCAGGCAGGCCTCGGTATCCCCAGTTTTCCTTGTTAGGAGGTGAGGGTTAAGTTTTCTATGCTTATTTACACTGGAGAGGAGTGAAAGGGTCTCTGTGTATAGAAAATTATCAATAAAAGGCTTCAAGCTTATGTTGCCATCTTGTGCTAATACTCTCCCTAGGGCTGGAGGGCCAGAGCTCCCTGGCACTGCCCATTTGCAGCGCTGCCCTCACCTGCACACTGGGCTGTGGGGAAAGCCTTTGAGTACCCTTGGAGGAAAGGCTGTGGGAGTAGCAGCCTGGTCTGGGTGTAAGCTCGGGTTGAGAGGAGGAAAGCTGTACCTTGCACGCAGGGTTCAGCACATGCTGGTCCATTGACTTGAGGCTCCGTCTTGTGACCTGACTTGGGTTGGGGTTGGAGTTGGGACCAGAGTTTGATAAATGCTAAACAATGCGGGCTTTAGAATGGAATGACTTTAGTTAATCCTGAGAAAGCCCAAAAGGGTCAGTGCTCCTGTAGGCTGAGGGCCAGCAGGCAGGACTGACTGTCATGGGAGGTATGAGCAGGCTCTGAGAGTTGGGTGGATGGGTGTTCCTGGGTGCCAGGCGCTGTGGTAAGCACCTTACGTTATCTTAATGCCTGCAGCAAGCTTGTGATGTAGGCACTTCTCCCCGGAACAGAAACAGAGCACCCAGAAGTAGCAGTAGAGGCCACACCTGCTGTGGTTCAGCTGCACACTCTGCTCTGCTGTGCCGTGCCCTGGAGTGGTGCTGGCAACAGTTGCCCCCAGTCTTCCTGTTCTGCTTCCCTCATCTGGGAAGCCGGTGTGATAGTGGTGCTGACCTTGTCGGGCTACCATTCAGATTCAGAGTCCATGTGAGGCACGACATACAGTAGATACTCAATAGACAGCAGCAGTCCTGCTGTCCTGGCAGCCTTCGAGCAGAGAATAGACACCTCTGCCTGCCTGACTTAGAATAGTAATTTGTTTTCCTTTTAAGCCAGGGAAGAATTTTAGATTATTTTTCAGAGAAGAAGGTCAGGGAAAGCCATGAGAGTAGTTTGAAAAAGCAGTGTCAGTATGATTTTATTTTTGGAAAATGGAAACAGTGCCTAATGGTGAAGTGCCCACAGTAACAGGAGGAACTGGAGAAGGCTGTGCTGGCTGCCAGTGGGTTTCAGAGATGAGAGAAACACAGGTTTTCCCCCCTGTAGTGGTCAGCAGTCTCAGAGAAGCACAGCAGGGGACCCCTTCTGGTGTCTTTGAGGTGCATGTGAGATCAGGCAAGAGACATCATCTTTTTTGATTTTTTTTTTTTTTTTTTTTTTGAGACAAGTCTTACTGTGTAGTCTGGGCTGACCTTAAACTTGGAATCCTGCCTCAGCCTCCTGAGTGAAGGGATGTCATCTTTAAAGTTCAAGTCCTACTGGAAGAATGAAGCTGCAGAGGGATTTGGTGGGATTGGCTGGCACTTTATAGCTGGTTGGGGTCAACTGTGAGGAGGACCTGCTCAGGGGATGGCCTGGGAGACAAACTGTCCTATGTAGGATTGGATGCCTGATTTACAGACAGTTCCTACTTTGTCCTTAAACACTCAGGGGGAGAGAACAGGTAGCTGGATTGTGCTGCAGCCCCAGCACCTGCTGGGGCAGACCCAGGACCTCAACCCGCGGCCTGGCTTGGCTTCTGGCTTCTGTTGTTTCCTTCGATGGAATGGTGCCTTGAGCTGGCAGTAGTTTCTGGAGCTTTCAGGATCTGTGGCCTGTGGGGCTAAAGTCAAGTGAAGCTCCATTTTCATCTTTATCTGTGTGGAACTCCCCAGGCACCCTCTGAGAGACCTGGCCCCATGTCTGTCCTATAGCTGGTTATCTTCAGGATACTAACACCCGCTTTCATTGAGAGCTGTGCCAGGCAACACTTTGACCACACAACAGTCTCTAACTAGTATTGTGTGGTTAATTCTGCCTAACCCACTGAGTAAATGCGTGGCCAGGGAAGTAACCTGCGCAACATCACAGAGCTAGGAAGCCACAGTGAGAGTGGGGATTGTGTCACAGGTGCTGGTAGAGGGCTCATAAGAGAAACTAGAGGAACATAGCATCCTAGGCAGTCACCTCTCTCTGTTCTGCCTGGTCCCCACCAACCCAGGAGCCAGCCACTGAGCTTGTAGGAGGGCCTGCCCCCAAGCATAGCTTTCCCCCTCTCCTCTATCTCTAGCCCAGCCCCAGCCAAGTGGGTTCAGCCTCCAGCAGAACAAGAGGCAGCCTTGTGACAGGAGCCCCCTGCCGCTCCCACCTCCCGGGAACCCCACCTCCTGCCTTGACACCCAGAGTGCGGCACATTCCATTCTCTGGCACAGCTGGGGGCTGGGGATTCTGGGTTCCCCTGGCTGCCAGCTTTCTTCCCAGCCCCAGCAGAGCCTACTGTCTGGGCTGGGACACTGGGTCCCAGCCACACACATTCCAGCAGCAACTGCCCCCCACATTAGATTTCCCAAGTTGTGAACTTTAGTCAGGATTACAGCTGACTAAATAGTTGTGGGATGTGAGCTTCCTTTGTGGGGACTTGGGCTCAGTGCTGGCAGGGGTGAGGAGAGGAGGGGTTAGGGTGGGCTGTCTGGGAATCGGGAGAAAAGCCACTGGCTCCTCTGCCTCCATCAGGCCCTGGAGTGGGACTGGAGCAGGGCTCCCAGAAATCTTCCCGGGTAGCAAGTGTGTGATGGAGGCATGGCTGTCTGTCTCCCTGGGTTGTCCAGCTTTGCCATTGCAGACAGTGTAGTGCCAAAGGGTGGGAGGTCAGATCCCCACATCACCCTGAGCTGCAGCCATATCATTAAAATGCACTATCTCCAAGGGCTGTTGGGAAGCAAAAATTAGAATAGGAAAGTATTTAGGGGATGCTACCTACCCATTATGGCCTTGATATTTATTGATTGCTGGGATTAGACATTTTCACCCTAGTTTTGGCTTATTTACTAATAGGGTAGATAGGATGTGTATTGTAGGGTTTTTTTGTTTTGTTTGAGACAGGATCTTGCTATGTAGTTCAGGCTGATCTTGGGCTCACAATGTGGCCTGGGCTGGTCTTGAACTCACAGTGATCCTCCTGCCTCAGCTTCTCAAGTGCTGGGATCACAGACGTGTGCCACCACCCCAGGCTTAGGAGGTATAGTTTTGAAGCAAAACCCCAAATGTTGGTAATGTAATTGTAGCTTTTAGAGCAAATCCTCCTCGCTTTTCCCTGCCTTCCTGCCACTTGTGGATCTTAATTAGGGAATCGGATTGTACTGACCACCTATTATGTATAAGCACTGCTAGGTCATGGCTTTGGTTAATAAAAATACGAACTACCATTTAACATTTTCTGGATTCTGTGCATTGTTTCCAGGTATGTTGCATGCGTTTAAGACAACGTTCTGTGACTCCGAGAAGTAGACATTTTACTCCACTTTGTAGCTGGCTGTGTTCTCAGCCACCATCATTAAGTCACAGGGTGGGAAGCCAGAATGGGCTACACTGCGTGTTCTCACGCCAGCCCTGTGTGCTCAGTCACCAACTTCCAAATCCTTCGTGCCTTATACTAGAACTCAGATTTTGTACCCAGCTGAAGAACTTGATTTCCTTTGCTGTCTTGCAATGCAGAGTGGGCGTGTGATTTAGCTGTGGCCAGTGAGCTAGTAGTGGAAATCTACCAGGTGGGACCTGTTGAGAAATAACTTTTCCTGATCAAAAGGGCTAGAGACAGCTGACAGGCGATTTTGCTCTTAACCCTTCCCCGCCTTGCTGCCTGGAATGTGGTTGGGAAATTGGGAGGAAGAGGCACCGTCTTGTAACCACAAGAACAAAAACCCTCCTTCCCCTAGAGGGCAGGAGAACGAGTCTGGGACACAGACCTCGCACCTGTCCAATTCCAGAGCACTGGTCTTTCTGCTGTGTTCCTGTGGTCAGAGGCAGCCCTTCTCTGACACACAGGCCCAGCTGCGGTTCCCATCAACCAGGAGAGAGGACAGTGGAGCTAGTAGGGATTGGAGGGGAAGAAGGACAGGGCCTCCCTGGTTTTGGGAGGATGCTTAGTCCCAGAAAAGATTCCTGGGGGGCCTGGCAGAGTGGGTGTGCAGACCAGACCTGGGCTCCTGTGTGGAGTGGCAGGGAGTCCCTGAGTGGCCTTCCTGGGATGTGGGGGAGCCCTCTCCTCACTGGCCGCGCTGCTTACTGCTGCCAGCACCTGACAGAGGTCAGCATTGTGTTTCAACCAGGGGTGGGCCCGAGTCCTGTGTGCTCAGTGGAAAAATAATCCCTGGTCCTGGTTGACCATAGAAGTGTCCATAAATATTTGGTCAGGGCAGGAGGCTGGGAGACAAGGGGCAGATTCAGGGAGCTAGGTGGGCTGGGCAGGGTTGGGCAGAGTGGGTGGCAGCGGCTTCCTTGGGTAAGAAGCAACTAGAAGGCTTCTGCTGCTCCTGCTGGGGCCACCTGACTGCCCCGGGGGGTGATTTATGGGCAGGTTGTCAGACCACCTGTTAGTGAGACCAGAGTGTGTGTGGGAACTTGGCTTTCACCTTTCTGAAATCATTCTCTTTCTCCTCGCCATTCCTCAGAGCTGATGTGCTCCCAAGAGCTGTGGAGGCTGGGGTTATCCTCAGCTGGTGGCTCCTTTGTCTGGGAGGAACAGCAGGCCTTCACTGGACTTTCCACCCCGACTGGCAAGAAAAGACCCTCAGGGTGTTCCCAGTTCCTGCTCTGGGGACACCATCTCTACCCCTTGGCATCTGCGAAGGGCCCTTCCAAGTGCTGGCCATCTGGGTGGCAGCAGTCTTTCTCCTTTCAAGCCTTTGCCCAGCTCTGCATCATCCACCTCAAGGTAGCTGCCTCCATCAGCTCTGAGCTCACCAAAGACACAAGTCCCTTTCCTTTCCCTGCCTCAGGTGTTAGGGTACCTAGGTAGTGGTTCTCAACTATGGCTGCATATCACCCAGCCTCTAAAAATACTGATTTCTGGTGCTTCCTTGGCATTCTGATTGTGCCAGCATGGGGTTTAGTGTTGTGTGACAGCGATCTACTGCTCATGTGTTAACATGCAGATTCTGAGCTGGGTGTGGTGATACAGGCCTATAATTCTGGCACTTTTGGAGGCTGAGGCAGGAGGATTTCAAGCTCAGCTTGGGCAATTTAGTGAGACTTTATCAATATCAAAAAGTACTGAGGATGTAGCTCAGTGCAATGTGATTTGAGAGTCTGCATTTCTAACTAGTTCTGAGACAATACTGTCCCTGCTGCTGCTGCTACTGACCCCCAGGGACCACAATTAGTGCTGGTTTATGGCATCTGTCATCCACAGGTCAGACATTTGCCCAGGGGTGTCTGAAAACCCAAAGGGAGAAGTGACATACCTGAGGCCTCAGGCTGTCCAGGTGTGGTTCCCTGTGGCCTGGCTGCAGGCTGTCCAGGTGTGGTTCCCTGTGGCCTGGCTGCCTTAGGATCCTCAGGCCAGGCACTGCCTGTGAGGCAGGGCTGCGCTCCCACTGTGGGAGTCTCCCGACTGGGGGCAGCAAGCTGGGGTGTGAGCATGACCCTTGCCATGTGCTCTTGGGGAGCCTACAGAAACAGAGCGTTGCTTTTCATAGGCATCCTAGGGAGGTCTGTGTAGCCTGGCGGTGGGTTAGGTCAAGGGCCTCTTGCTAACAGTCCACCCTAAGCCTCCCTCACCTCTTACCTCTTCGGAACCAGCTGACAAAGAAATTACCAATCTAAACCAACTGTTGTTTTAATTTAATTAAAAACTTAAAAAAACCAATTAAACCGTGCTTGAATCTGTTATCTAGAACCCACGGTTTCACTGCAGTAGTAATAACTTAGCATTATCAGGGAAAAGGGAGACGCAGAGACTAAGGAGGCCTGGGGTAGAGCCCCGGGAGAGATCAGAATGCAGGAGGTGTGGCTGCAGGGCACGGAGACCCGAAGTCCTCGGCTTCGGAGAGCTGTGATGAGACAGAACGGGGCAGCAGGGGAGAACTGTTCCCCAAGTGGCTCACCCCGCACCGAGACAGCTCTCCAAGGCACCCCGCCCCTCCTCAGGCTGTACTCCACCCTTCCCTTGCTCTGTCCTCCTCCTGGCCTCCCAAGAAGAAAAAATCCCAGAAGAGAAAGTCCTTCTAAAAGAGGAAGTCTAAGACCCCAGAACTCTCTGTCACGAAGGACAGCCCCTAGGCTCTGGGGGCATCTGTGGGGCTGGGCCACTCACAGCTCTGTAGGAAGCCACCTTCTCTGAGGGGCTGGGTCAGCCTGGGAGTGGGCACAAGGCCAGATGGGCAGGGACAGAGGGCAAGGCACAGCTGGCTGGGTGGGGAAGGGAGGAGTGCCCCTCAGTGGGGCTCTGCGGCCCCATAGAAGAAGGGATAGTAGAGGGAGCAGGGGTAGGAGAACATGAATTTGACGGCGAACTTCATCTCCTTATTCTTCTTGTCCCAGTGGTAGACGGCCATGAGCAGCAGCTGTCCATCCACTTTGCGGCCCATGACCAGGAAGCTGCCTGCCAGGCTGTCCAGCTGTGGGCAGGGGCAGCCTGCGCCGTTCTTCATATGCAGTACCAGCCTCTTGGTGTCCTTGCGCTTCAGGGGCCCTGGCTTGAGCAGCTTCTTCTTCTTCTGGGCTCCTATCAACTTGCGGTCTCCATTCTCTATCTTGATCTCCTTAATGCGCATTTTGACCACTGTGGAAAGAGAGCAGAGGGGCAGCCTGAGAAGGGTCAGGTCTCAGGACTGCATCGTTATTCTCCTGAGGGCTCAGGGAGCCTGCTGTGCTGGAGGGCTTGGAGGAGTGGGGCTTATATGGCTCCATTCTAATATTCATAAAGCTTCTATCAGGTGCTGGACTCTCACGGACCTACAGAGCTTCATACTCAAAGTACAGGAGGGAAAATGAGGTGTGGAGAGGGTGTCTCGCCTGCATTGCAGAGCCTGGACTGAACAGTCTGGCCAGCGCTGAGCCCAGAGTGGGGATGTTGGAGGGGGCGCTGAGCACCTAAAGGAGGTTCTTATGGAGGGAAGCTGGGCTTCATGATCATGGGGACTGATTTTGATGGGATTTCTGGCTGTTGTGATCAGCCAGGCTGTGTGTGTACATGCATGGTGTGGAGGGTGCATGTGTGCCTATGTGCGGTGAGGGGATGGGGCAGTGGTGGGCTGGGGGTTAACAGCCAGCACTGGGGAGGAGCAGCCTTCCTCCTTGAGGCATTTTCTGATACCCACCGTGACCAACCACATCACATTGCGGGGCATGGAGCTGGGAAGAAATGCACGTAGAGCAGCTGTGGTATGAATGTACCACTGTTGCCTTCATGTGTGTGTGCATGCGTGTGTGTGCGTGCGCGCGTGTGTGTATGTGTGTGTGTGAGAGGGGGCGAGATCAAGGGAAAATGTATATGTGGTCTCTGTCTGAGATTGTATTTGTAGTAGGTGTAAGAAAGAGAGTGTGTAGGGGAGATGAAGGCAGGGTCCATGGTCGGGTTACTCCAGGGTGGCTAGCAGGTCTAATATAAGTGGGGACAGGAAATCTTGGGCTGGAGGCAGGTGGGGAGTCCCTCAGGCTAGACTCTTCCTTCTTCAGGCCTCTGGCTCCCTACATGGACAAGAATCCAGGGAATGACACTGCCCATCAGGAAAGGAAACTATCCTAAAATGTCTTTCTTCTCCCCCTCCCCCTTCTGACACATACACGCGCACACACATCTAGCAATATAGCAGTATTTCTTTCCAACAAGGCTATTGACATGAAAGACTCCTCTGAAGAGAGGATTTAATATTATCTGTTTCTCTTTTTTTATTGACAGGGAAGATAAGACACAAAGCAGGGACCTGACTTGGCAAAGATTGCACTTGAACTTTATGGCCCAGGAGTGAGTTAGGTCCTAATTAGACTTGGTGTGGTTGTCCGAGGAAGGGGAGACGAGGATGAAGTTGTGGGGACAGGTGACCAGTGAAACACCTAGCCAGTGGAACAGTGGGTACTTGGAGCAAAATCCCAGGGATGGGGCTCTCCACTTTTAGCCTGGAGCCCCTCTCTCTTACCACGGCCCCTCCCATCCCTGGGGTGAGCCTACATCCTCCTTAGAGACCATCCAGTTGGGGAGGCCCCTCTGTGGACAGTGCCAAGGGAGGACTGCAGAAGCCCTGGCCAGGGCTCGTTTCTGAGGCCCATGGACCATGACCTTGAGGGCTTCTGAAGCCTCTGGGATGATGTGCAAAAAGGGGTGCATTTCTGTGGGGAGAGGGTTTATGGGTATCACCAGGTTCTAAAGGGGCTGAAGCTTTTGGGGTTTACAGTGATGGATGTGGGCAGCTGTGTTAGTCTATGTGTCAAGGAGACCGGTGGGGGCAGTGCCAGGGCATGGCCACGTGGGCCCCACACTCACCAAAGTCACTGGAGCACATCTGCTCCATGAGGCCATCAGCACTGTGCTCCATCTCACATTGGGCGCAGATCTTGGTCACTGAAGAGAGAAAGCATGGGAGGGGTGGGTGATAGTTAGTGAGGGGTTTGGAGTCCAAAGAGCCACTTACTGTGCAGAACTCCCGGCTGGCCAGCTGCCCCCCATGCCTCCAGGAAAAGAGATGATGGTGATAATACCACCATGTGACTGTGACACTCACAAGAGGCAAAACTGTGCAGGGCCAATACTGCCCAGGTGGATACACTTACTGCTTCACAACCCCGGCAGCTGCAGCCATGATATGTATTGTCTTCTAAGTTTTATCCCACCTCACTCTCAGGCTTTGAAGCAGTTACTCTTACTAGAGAAAAGGAAATGTAGGCCTAGAGCGGTTACCCAAGTCTGCAGAGCTCATGAGAATGCAGTTTAGGATTCAAGACTTGTGACTGCCCATTTAGCGTCAGGATGGAGCTGCCTGTAGGTACCAGGGAGGGGGTATACAGTGAAGTGGGCAGGGCTGGGACTGGCAAACTGAGGAGCGCTCCCCTCCAAGGTGGGCCAATTAACATCACCAGAACTTCTGGTTTTTTAAGGGAAGCCAAGATTCTTTAATTTTATATGAAATATTCTGAGTGTTACCTGTTGGCAAAAACACTTCTCCAGGCTGCTTCTGTCCTCAGGCCACCACCCAGCACTTGACCTCTGTTCACCTTCTGTGCCTGCCTCTAGACAGGGGCCTCTCCCCGGGGAAAGGGGACTCAGGGGCTGGTGGAGTGGGTGGGGTTGGCCAAGTGGGACTTCCCAGGTTGTTAACGCCTGGGCTCCAAAAGAAGCCAGAGATGAACCCGCAGGGATCCTGCCCGGGGACTGTGACTCCCTGCTCTCTGGCTCCCTCTCCCACTTCCATCTGGACGCTGACCTGCAGGATAGGGGCTTTCCCTTCGCCCACAGGCACAGGCCCACAGGGGAAGGGGCATGGACTAGGGAGGGGTGGGCACACGAGGAAGGTTATCCTGGGGGTGGGGTAAGGCAGAGTGGGGTTCAGTTGCTCTAAGGGGAGTAGGGAGCGCAGGAAAAGGAGTGGTGCTGCTTGTGGGGGGAGCAGAACCGGAGGCTGGTTGGTCCCGGTGTTCATGCCCAGGCAAGGCTGCACTGGGTGTCATGGTTAATCCTCCTGCGGGGGGCGCTGGGAGCCCGGGCAGCCTGGAAAGGAGTTACTCGGGGAGAAGGGGAGGGGCACTGACCTGCGGGGACCAGCACAGTAAAGGGGAGGCTGACACCACCACGCAGAAATCACGGGTACTGGCACTGGGGGTGTGGCTGGGAGGCAGGATTTAGGATCTCGAAGGTTTCACTTTTTTTTCAGATGGGGAAGCCAGAGGCTCAGAGAAGTTAAGCAACTCCCCTAAGGCTCCTCCCTGGGGTCTGAGCTGAGGCGCTGAGCCTTACCCAAAAGCTGAGCCCCGGAATCAGAGAAGAGGGTGGAGGAAGTTAGGGGTCCAGGCATAGAAACAAGAGGGGCATAGCCAGGAGCGCTCCCAAACCCGCAGGTCTTCCCCACCCTGGCTCCCCTTCCCAAGGCCCTAACGCGGGGTAGGGCTGGTCTTGGTGCCTGGGGTCCGGGTGAAAGGCATTTTTAGCTACCCTGGGTATTCTTGGGCTGAGGAAGGCAATAAAGTAGTTGTAGGGCGCCTCAGGGCACGAAGGGATTCAGCGACTTGGGAAAGCGGGCCTCGTCAGGGCTGGAATTGGGGAGAACCATTGGGATGTTCGCAGCGCAGGGAGACACTGCTCTGGCAGCCCACGGGGTCGGCTTGGGAAGGCGGCAGGAGTCAACTCCCGGGGTGCAGTGCAGAGCGAAGCGCCGTGCGTGTGCGTGCGTGTGTAGGGAGGGTGGCACAGAGCTGTGCTCGCAGAGCTGTGCTGCGGGGTTGGGGGCGGCATCTCTCCGGGCCTGGCCCGCGGGCGCACAGTGCAGTCGGGCGCGCGGGGGCGACGACGCTACCTGGAGGCGCGGTGGCGGGCAAGTGCCCGAACTGCACAGCGATGCAGAGGTCGTTGTCCAGAGGGAACTTGTGGCAGTGCAGCATCTCGGGCCAGGGGAAGCCGTAGGCCTCCATGAGCGGCGCGCAGCCGGCGCGCACGGCCTCGCACAGCGAGCGGCACGGGTAGATGGGCCGGTCGAGGCAGACGGGCGCGAAGAGCGAGCAGAGGAAGACCTGCGTGTCCGAGTGGCAGCGCTTGGCCAGCAGTGGCAGCCAGCTGCTCGCCTGCTGCTTCACCTCGGCCAGGCTCTCGTGCTCCAGCAGGTTGGGCAGCCGCATGCGCTTGTAACCCACCGTGTGGCAGAGCGGCAGGTCGGCGGGGATGTCGAGGCACTGAGGCGGCTTGGAGTAGAAGCGGCCGTGCAGCGGCTCGGCCTGCCAGCCGTAGTAGTCGTACTCCTCGCCCAGCGCGGGAGCACAGTGCAACGCCCCCAGCAGCAGCGCCAGCGCCAGCGCAGCCGTCCGCGCGACCCCCGCCACTGCCCGCATGGCCGCGCTCGCCCCCGGGAGCCCCTGCAGCCGCCGCCGAGGTGGCCCAAGTAGGTGGCAGCCTTCGCTCAGCTCCGCTCCGGGCGCCCC